CAAAATAAAGTCAGCTGAAGTAAAAACTAATAAAATAAATTTAAAATAAACATTTAAGCATTAACTATAATTTTTTTGTTTGTTTCTAATTAAGCACAAAGCTACACAATGGGCTATCTGTGCTCTGCCCACCACGGGTATCGAAACCCGGTTTATAGCGGCGTAAGTCCGCAGACGTGCCGCTGTGCCACTGGGGGGGGGGGGCAGTAACATTTAAATAAATTAGAATGGAGTCGACATGAACACTAACCAGGGATGAAAATATGCAGACAGGAAATATTTGTTCAAAAATTAAGTTATGCAAATAACATAAGGAAACAAACTGTCTTCTAGTAGTGAGCAGTAGTTACCAGTAAACAAGGGAATAGATAACACTAATGGAGATGCAACCTTAATCATGACGCACTGGTAGAAATGAAATCTTTGTGAAGATCTCAGAAGTGGAAGAGATAGCACCGAAAGTGGCAAATCAATTTGAGTCACTTTATAACATATTGGGAGTCTGGTAGCCTGGCTTAAGAAGTCAAGCGAAGAAATTTCTGGATGAATTTGCTTCTTCTTGATTGGGTTCTTTGAGTGTATTTAGAAACGCAAAAATGGACGACTGTTCTACAACAAGAACTCAGTAGGCTGAACAATTTAAATAGAGGAAGTTGAATTCAGGAAGACCATCATTTAAGAGAGAGAGGGGGATCATGAACGGTAAGACAGAAACGTCACGAAAAAAAGTTTGAGAGAGTTTCATTGTAAATGCGTGTTTGTAGAACTGAATTTTAGTTCTCGGTTTGTCATGTGTAGAAGGAAAGTGTATTTGACTAGCTATAAAGGAACAGTGGTTATTAGAATTCAGTGACGTTTTCTTAACGTTTTTTGTTTGTTTGTTATCAATTCTGAACTGGAATATCTAATAAAAAGGTCTCAAAAAATAGTCACACGGGAAGTACAAAGCTCTTCACAATCTTGACGAACGTCACTTAAAAGCTCGACATTTACGTCAGATATAACTGATGACGTCATGTGCTATAAACGAAAGGATAGCTCGAGTTGAGGACTGTTTTAGTTTCTCAAACGGTAATGGAGAAGCAGACATTTCTAAGAATGTTTTGGAGACCGTTACTGCTTACAAGATAACACGAGATCTCGGAGATAAAATATTATCAAGCTAATGAAAAGTTATAATAGCTGAGTACAAGATTTAATTCGTTTTTATTTTAGTTGCGATCATATGTCTTTTCTTATTTGTCTTTTCTTCAGCTAGTTCGATAAGACTAGGATGACGTAATCTTCTCATTGAAATGATTGGTCAGAAGATAGGGATTATTTATAAATGGTGTAAATATTACATTTCATAAGTTCAGTTGTTTTGTATTATTCAATCCTCATATGCCCCCAGTGACTCAGTGATAAGTCTAAAGGCTTATGACACTAAAACTGGGTTTCGATACCCGTGATGGGCAGAGCACAGATAGCCCGTTGTTCAGCTTAACGACAAACAAACAACTTACACATTTTAGTTCAGTTCTCAAGCTAAAGTAAGCAATCGTAAGGGGTCTGGATGGCATCTTGTTTTCCTGCGAATAGCTGGATACAAGGTTTAGTTAACAGTGGTTGAAATATGCTTTTTTTTCGCTGAATCTAGGATGACGTAATCTTCTCAATGAATTGAGTGGTCAGAAGATACAAATAATTCAGAAATGGTGGAAATATTACATTTCATTGGTCCAGTTTTGTTCTTAAGTCCTGACACAAACAGTTCAGCCTGTAATCCAACACACAGTTAAACAGACTTCCAGAACACCTTATGGTTATATTAGTGAGTACCAGACTTAGTGTTAAACACCCCTGGCAGTTTCTGTATGTACAGATAATTCTAGCACGTTTGTTTGTTGTTGTTAAGCGCAAAGCCACGCAACGGGCTTTATTAACCAAAAAAAAATTTCGTTTAAACTCATGACTCAAAATTAATAAAAATTTCACTCTTTGTCTTAACTTAATGGGACATGACATGGTGTAGTTATTAAAGAATTCGACTCCCAATCTGAGCGTCGCGGAATCGAATCCCGTCACCGAACATACTCGCTCTTTCATTCGTGAGGCATTATAATGTGACAACCAATCCCACTATTCATTAGTAAAGAGCAAATAGCCCAAGAGCGGGTAGTGGATGGGGTCGACCACTTGCCGTGGATGTGTTATAGGAGTGACTGACAAATCCCACTACTTGATTAGATTAGCCAGAGATTAGTGTTGAATGGCCTTGACTAGCTGTCTTCCATCTAGTCTGTCACTTCAAAATCAGGAACGGCTAGCGCAGATAGCGCTCGAGTAGCTTTGCGCGAAAAATTAGCACACAAACAAAAAAACCTTATCTGATGACCAAACCAGAATATTTAAAAAGCAATATTTTGTCAGTTTGAAGCGCTTTTAAGTTTGTAAAGTTCGTTACATGCAAGTCTAACTACTTTTCAATCGCAGACGAAAGGAACCTTTTATATTATCTTTTTTTCCAAAATGCCACTCTTGTAACGTACCCACGACCCCAAAGTGTGGTAACGGGACACGAACCAGGGACATTTAGCGCCATATTCCGACACACTAACCACTCGGCATATACGTTCTGAATACGTGTTTTAGTGTACACAGAACATTGTGCGTAGGATATTTAAACTGGGCTAAATGTGTATATTAAACACGACCTTATTTCTTTACGCCCGTCAACTGTGAATTGCGCCACGTTTGGCGGTCGTTTGGGGATCACTTCGTACAGAGCTACCGTGCACAATTAATGAAAAACGGATGTAAAGATATGAGCAGGTAATGGTGAATATCCTGCAAACGACGTACTAAAAACAGTATCATGGATAGTGAAAACAATTATGATTATGAAATATAACAATATATATATATAGCTAGGTTAATGTGTTGGCCAGAAGGTGCTACAGTTCCTTACCTCCTACTATTCTCTGTAGCATGTCTTCTCAGTAAACTATCGTGTTAAAAATATATATATCATGTTGTCCTAGTTGTTCCACGCACACACCTCAAAATAACAATTCTGTTCTTGTATATTTGTTTCTGACACTCGAACACCTTGTATATATATATATGTAACATCAAAACGAGGACCGCTTTATTTAATCAGAATTACACAATAAATATTACTGCAACATTACCGAGAAATTAGATTTTCTCTGAAATGAGGATTATAGAGGGCGACAGTAATAATGATTCAGGATGTTTGAGGTGTTACCTTTTATAACTCAGAAGGAAAAGAAGATACACCTTCGATTACAAGTTCTGAAAAATCGTTGAGAAACACTGACTTTTCTAAAGAAATATAGTTAGATATTTGGATATTTATCTTTACGTTTATTCTTCAGGTAATACATACAACAATTAATTCATTTTTGCTTGTGTAGTGTGTTATTATAATTACTAAAGTGCAGGACTTAAGTAAGAAATGTCAACACGATCTAATATGTTTTCCTTACTCTCCACAACAGAAAGTACCAACTAAGGATGGGTACATTTGCTCCCTCTAGCTACACGAGGGCTATCTGCGCTAGCCGTCCCTAATTTAGCAGTGGAAGACTAAATGGAAGGCAGTTAGTCATCACCACCCACCGACAACTCTCGGAATACTCTTCTACTAATGGTATAGTGGGGTTGACCATCACATTATAACGCCCCCACGGCTGAAAGGGAGAGCATGTTTGGTGGGCCGGAGATTCGAACCTTCAGATTGCCAATCGAGTGCCCTAGCCACCTGGCCATGCCAGGCCTGATGTGAATTAAACTGGAATTTAGAAGCCACTTGACACAGACAAGTTTCATGTTTATTATTATATATACTTGTTTTAGCGAATTGTTATAGTTTACATAACCTTCATAATGTGAACAGAAAACCCTTTTTTTTATATATCATATAAAAATGGGCCTTAGTGACTTCCTGAAAAATTCGTTCTATAAATATAAACTGGAATTTTCAATATGAACAGAAATTTGCGCATGTGTGATAAGATCCCAGAAGCCCGCCAGTGGCACAGTAGTATGTCTGAGGACTTACAACGCTAGAATCCGGGTTTCGATAGCCAGAGTGTTAAGACAGTTTTATATATATAACAACTTTTTATATATTTTTATAAAGATTTATTGTCTTTTGTGTAAAGCTACACACACACACAAATATATGAATTATAATGTTATAATCCTGGTCTTAAGCTTAACTTTAATCGACCCAGTAACATTTTGTTAATTATGTAATATCTATGATTTAATTTTACCTTTTTTCTAGTTTTAGCAACTTTTGAAAATTGGTCATAAATTGTGCTAGATTTTGAAAAAAAAATGTATATCATTATATGTGTATACGTACCAATTTTACTCATTTTTGGAGAATTTACAACAGCAAAAGTGTAAGTCGAAATATTATGAAAGCTTAATACACTTTATACAACTTAATACACTTCAATACATTTTTCGTTCCCGAATAACACTTACGCTTTAAAACCATTTGTCATTTCTTCCAAAAGTTAATGTAGCTTTTTGGACATTTTATTTTATTTGTGCATAAAACTTGTATCTGCTAAGTCGTTCAAAACACAATCCTAAAATAGCGCTTTTAAATCTACACTGTTTTTTTTTTCATTTTTGCCCTGCATGTGGTTAGAGCGCTCGACTCGCAATCTGAGGGTCGCGGGTTCGAATCCCCGTCCCACCAAAAATGCTCGCTCTTTCAACCGTGGGGGCGTTATAATGTTACGGTCAATTCCACTATTCGTTGGTAAAAAGAGTACCCCAAGAGTTGGCGGTGGGTGGTGATGACCCTCTGGTCTTACACTGCTAGATCAGGGACGGCTAGCGCAGATAGCCCTCGTGTAGCTTTGCGCAAAATTCAAAAACAAACAAACTACCTTTTTTTTATTCGCTTTCGAAAACTTTATTGAAAACTCATTCCTTTTTGCTTTCAGCATGCAAACATGAAATATTTAATATCTTACCCCTTCTTGGTACAAAGCAGCATCGATTTTATTATGGTCCAGTTTGGAATACATCGAGGTGAACCGTGGCTTAGAAATCGATGACCCCACGGATGGCTGTGCATACTTGTACACGGTAGAAACGCCATTTTCAGCTGACTCTTGTCCAGTCTGGGTTGGAGTAAAAGGTGACACTTTGATAACTAAGGGTGTACTAGATGTCACCGGTAGACTTTCTTCTAAATTAAATTAGTAGAAAAAAAGAAAGAATACAATTACCACAAGTACTGGTAATTTCAAAATGAATAACACCTTATGCTATATGTGAGCTAAACAGCTAGGTCGGGTATACCAAACCATAATTTGATCTAGAGACCAGAGGAACGGCAGCTATTAAGCAGCGCCTACCGCCAGCTTTGAACTAAAGAACGAGATTGGCTGTCACTCTTAGAACTCACTTTCAGCTGAAAGTGTGGGACGTGTTCAGTGACAACGCGACTTGAGCCTTCGACTTTCTGATACACTCCAGGCCTACAGTTACCATAACAGATTGAAGTCCAATTGCTCGCTCTTCACTCTGTTAATGGGCGTTATAATGTGACGGCTAATCCTCCTATTCGTTAGTAAAAGAGTAATCCAAGAGCTGACATTGGGTGGTGTTGACCAGCTACCTTCTCTTTAGTCTATAACTTCAAAATTAACGATGGCTAGCGCAGATACCCCTCGTGTATCTCTGCGTGAAATTCAATAAACAAACAAACGATATTTAAAAGGGCTGAAGGTCTAGGTTAGTGACTGGTTCTAGTTGAACTGTATCACATTGCTCACAATTTTAATTCCTGCATTTCACAACGATAACAACTGCATCAATTCGTGTAGCTATTATCCATAACATACTGTCCCTGTTGATTTGAACATGCTCCTTTGAGAGTGCCATACTATGTACGATCCCGGAAGTCTGGTCACTTCGTGTACACGTACAACCGAATAGGTCGTGTTTTTTTTTTTTTTATATGCGTTATTTTGAATTTTTTATTGCCTATTTTTTGTTACCTAGACGTAAAGTACGTATTCTAGGCTGCTTTGCTACCTGAATTATTTTCTTTATTTTTTTTTCTTTATTTATTTATTTTGAGTGAATGATTTGTAGCATTCACATGCCTTATGTCATTTTGCGTAAACCCACAGAAGGCTATATATCTACAGTACAGCCCCCCCCCCCAGTGGCACAGCGCTTTATCTTCGGACTTACAACACTAAAAACTGGGTTTCCATACCCGTGGTGGGCAGAGCACAGATAGCCCATTGTGTAGCTTTGTGCTTAATTGCAAACAAGCAAACCTACAGTATTCGACTAACTAAAGAAGAAAAACGTGAATAATATGATTTAACGGGCTACAAGTCTGCCTGATTATTTAACGGGCTACAAGTCTGCCTGATCATTTAACGGGCTACAAGTCTGCCTGATCATTTAACGGGCTACAAGTCTGCCTGATCATTTAACGGGCTACAAGTCTGCCTGATTATTTAACGGGCTACAAGTCTGTCTGATTATTTAACGGGCTACAAGTCTGCCTGATTATTTAACGGGCTACAAGTCTGCCTGATCATTTAACGGACCTCATTATGTCTCTTGATGTGCCTTTTCTCGACTATCTTATATTTTGCTTGTTTGACTATTTCATTGACTTTTTTTTATAGCTTAGATCACTGTTTGAATTGGAAGGTGAGACAATAAACTACGTTGTTTTCAATTTCAGAGGAAATTGCTTTCCCTTATAAGTTTAGGATCATCAAGTAGTGTTTATTATTATTATTATTATTCTATAAAGGAAAACTCTGACTGGAGTGTGATTTTTTTCATAGCACCTAAAAATAATGAAACATGTGGAGCACATTTTAATTAAAATTGCAATACTTACTTAAATCATTTCAGTTCAGTGATATGAAGTTTTCTACAACATTTTTTTTTTGAGCAGAAGTAATATTTTCTTTTCTTGATAATAATCGACGATTTTTTTTACTATTTTTACGAAACAGTCAACTTTCAACTTGGATCTTTATTTTTTTCATCTATATGAGGTTGGAATATATAGTGAAATATACACGGTATATGGTAGGGATATACTGATTAAACTGGAAGAATCGGTCAAGAACGAAGTTCCGCCACTTGAGGATTCAAGTCATTAGCTCCTGATTGGAATAACAGAGCGGATCACAGAAAAGAGTTCCAACTACTTCAAAATCTCAAAGTAACACTGGATACAAGGATGAGTGCTTAGGCCTTACAGCCCCTTCTTCCACTACCAAATGTTCTGAGATGATTACTCTGTTTACGAACTATTGCTCAGTCGTTCAATCTTCACAAATGGAGACTTTTGCAAAACATATTGAAATCGATGTTGTTCCCCCTTCTCTTTACATGCTTCCCAAAGTACATACATCATTTGTATGTAGGCTACTACTTCTGATAGCTGGCATAGAGGCACAGAAGTCAATGAGAGGTGCATCTATTAATTTAATTTTGCACGTGAGAGAGGATTTATAAACTCTGTGTCATATTTCTGGTGCAGTGTATGGTTTCCAGTACTCTGATATTTTTAGCTATATCAATTTTTAAAATAATTTATTTAATTGCGTGTAAAAAAGAAAAATAGCTCTTTTTGTTTAGATATGCACAGCTGTATTTACTATATATCCTTAAAACACATGGCAAGACTGTTGTCCGTATCCTCACTTCTTGTGTTCAAAAGTTCCTCTCTTCTCTTTCACTTGAAGCTGGCCCGGCATAGCCAGGTGGTTAGGGCGCTCGACTCGCAATCTGCGGGTCACATGCTCGAATCCCCGTCACACCAAACATGCTCGCCCTTTCAGCCGTGGAGGCGTTATAATGTGACGGTCAATCCCATTATTCGTTGGTAAAAGAGTAGCCCTAGAGTTGGCGGTGGGTGGTGATAACTGACTGCCTTCCCTCTAGTCTTACACTGCTAAATTAAGGACGGCTAGCGCAGATAGCCCTCGTGTAGCTTTGCGCGAAATTCAAAAACAAACAAACAAAATCTTTCTTATAAATCATTCACGGCCCCAAAGCGCGGAGCAGGTGTTTGCGGCCACGGGATCACGAGCCATAAGCTTTGTGTAGCTTTGCGCGAAATTCAAAACAAACAAACACTTGAAACTTTCAATTTTTAAGAGATTTTTTCCACCCCCAAACTCCCGTCACTACACTTTCATATTTCTAGGGTATGTGTTCGCCTCTGGGTTGTTCTATTTTTTTCATTTTCACTCGTGTGGCAAATTACGGATGCCTAATCTTATATCACGTGTAACTATGTTCTCTTGGGTGTTCCTTAGTCAGATTATACTTGTTTTTATCACGCATTACTCCTTCCAATTTCTTATTCTTTCATCTTTTATGTATGTTTAACATGTGAACTAAGTTTATTATGAACTTCTTTTACCATTTTTCTTGACTTCGAGACATTTTCTCGAAATCAAAAAAGAAAGCACGAAAGGTTAATAATAAACTCGCTCCACATCTTTTATGCATACCTTCAACGTTGTAGAAAGGCTATTATGTTTGCAGACTTACAAAGCTAGAAACCTGGTTTCGATATTCGTAGGCCCGGCATGGCCAGGTGGATAAGGCGCTCGACTCCCAATATGAGGGTCGCGGGTTAACTATCTCAATAGCTCCTCGAAAAATATAACTAGAAGGTCGAAATGATTTTACAGGAGTAGTTCTTCAAATTTATTATTAATTTTGTTAAAACCAAAATTTCATCTATAGATTAACAGGACAAACATTTCTTACTCCTGATAATTAAAAATATATTAGAAATTACTATTGTTCCAAATTCCCAAATTCTTCTTGTTTTGAGTGTGAATATTTCAACATTTATACGTGAATAAATCACAACTTTCAAACAAGAAACCATTCTTGTAATGGTTTTAGCACTTTTATAGGCATACACGCACCTTCCCACTATAAGTAAACCTAAACTGAAAACAATGCTCTTAAATAAGATTGATCTCTTACTTGTTGAACTCCCAACTTCGGGCCCCTCAGTAACACAGCGGTATGGCAGAGAACTTACAACGCTAGAAACCGGGTTTCGATATCAGTGGTGGTCAGAGTATTAATAGCTCATTGTGTAGCTTTGTACTTAATTACAAACAAACGAACCAAACTTCGGTAAATAAATCTTAATAAGCTATTGTTCAACAACAGTCATACACCTATAAAAAAGCTTCACACCCCTGTTTTCATTTATGCTTCAATCATTTCTTTCTCTCTCTCTCTCTCTCTCTTCCATATCATTAATATTTTCTGAGCTATAAAATCAAATTACTAAATTTCTATAACTGACGTGTACTGTGATATACAGGTATATCATATTTTTTTTCTACCTGTAACGTAGAAATATTGAATTTCGTTTATTTAGTTCCATTGCAGTTTTGGCTAAAATTTGCATTGCAGAGAACTATTGATATTACATTGTTCTACTTTTTTTGCTTCTTTGTTTTCTATAGCATTTAATATCTAGTCTGCCCAAGGAATGTGATAATTTACTTCGCTTAAGTGTTCGAAAGGTCAACGACTGCAATGTTCTTTGCTGGCCGAGTTGATGATGCCTGTGTGTTGCAGCCAGTGAATGATATAAGACAGAACAACCGTAACGTGGTAATACCCTCGCAAAAGAAAGAATAGTAGGTTTCTTTTAAAATCGAAACAGCCTTTTTTTTCTCATTTCTACTTTCTTTCTGATTATGACTAGCTTACCAGAAATTTATCTTCAGAAATAGAAAGATGATCAATTCAACTTTCCTGAAGTAGGGAGTGTCTATTTGTTTGTGCAAGTACACAATTATGATTATGTTGATTTTAACAAAATTGTCTTTTTATTTTTCAACGAGAAAACAGAGTCGAGTTTTCAATTTCAGATTCCTCCCCAATTTCCTGGTCGACCCTATTTAATACTTTTGCGTATATCAGTTTTACCTGAAAAATATATCACAATAAGCTTATCCATTCGTCAATACTGAAGGGTACCCTAACAGTCTTAGATGTATTACTAAGCCTATTAAGATCATTGTGAATCAAAAATAGTCTATCTACTTTAGCTTACAAATTCAAAACAAAAACTTAGAGCCCTTCTCAGTACATGTATAGTTTTGTTTTATCTGTATAATAAGCAATGAAAGACATAAACCAATTTCTAGAGCATCTAAACTGTAATCTCTGATTATCGCTATCCTGAAACTTAACCTCATCTTGTTGCATTTATCGAACCAGCAGTTGGGTTGCAAGAAATCAAAGTTCAAATTCCGGTTTCATATCTCTTGTTATGAACATTAGAAACACTCATCATTTCGTCGATAGGGCTCTCGACTGTAGCGGTTGAAAGTTTATTTAGTCTCATAACGTGTTGAATATTTAACAACTTTTACTGATATAGCATCGATATTTTCTTCTACAAAAGGGAGTATTGTAGTCTTTATAAATAATGTCGCTTTTGAAGATGTTCTGCTCTAGTCGATCTAAACAAAATACATAATCTTTTTTTTTTCACCCGCACTGTTATATTATTTGTAACTTGTGTTTATTGCAACTTTAATAATGCTATCTGCAGCCGTCAACAACTTTGAACCACTGACCAGAGGCCGGTGTACACGTTAAAAGATTTATTGTCACTTTTATAACGAGCCAACTGTTTAAGTGCGATGAATATTTTGTGGTATCGCACGAATTCGAACCCGGCTCGCCAGCTCCGAAATCCGGAGTTTTACCACAGAAACAAACCGCACCACACTATTTTAGTAACAGCCTTTGTTAAAATCACATCTTAATAAAGTCACATTGGGACTTGGTGAGGGCTGGGGGTTAGCGTGCCCGGACTGCGGGTCCGAGGATTCGTGGTTCGACGCCGTTGCCGCAAAAACGTGCTCTGCACTTTGTAATCATGGCTTCACTATGAGAATGACGATCGAACCCCACTATTCAATCGAACAAGAATAGCCCAGGGGTTGACGGTGGATACTGTTTGACTGCTTGTCTTTCCTCTAGTCTAACTGTTCAAAATTAGAGAAGGCTATGAGCATATTGTCTTTAGTTTAGGTCTGCGCAAGTATCCAAAAACGGTTAAACAAAATTCACATTATAATTTTAAAACAAATAACCAAGTCACATCGATAAATTACATGAGACCCATTTAGCCGCGTTCAACTTACCGCATATTTCACAGTCTTTGTCACACATAGTTAGTTGTCTCTGAAGTCTTGGTGGAACCCAGAACTCTCCTGTACTCTGTTTCGAAGGGCTTTCTAGCCTCCCGTTGCTCTGAGATCTTAAAATGGGGCTCATTCGCTGAGTCATTTTGAATGCGTTTTCAGTGCTTCCAGCCTGCTTAATTTCTAATGGTATAATTCTCCCTCTTTCTTCAGCTGCCATTAAACTGGTTTTCTCGAACCAATTTAGTTTGTAACGCCTGGAGCACAGGACATAAAATAATAAACAAACAAGCATCACAACAAGAAAAGAAACGCACACATATACAGCTGTGTAATAACCACTCGACACTGCACTCGAACTCTCCAGGGTAACCATTTTCAATGTGTCGCTGGGTAAAAAGCAGCAGAATTTAGCTTTTAAAGCGTACCTTGTTCTTTTCCCCAGTCACGTAGTTCATATCTGGAAGGAGAAAGATAAAACATCACATAAATATGATAAATGAACAATCTTATTTTAAGGGTGGGAAATGACGCATAATGAACAGAAGCCTAGCAACAACTACTGTTAGCGCATCAATATAGTCGAGTAATTTATACAAGATCATAATCGTTGAGCTCAACAAGACCGAACCATAAAGAAATTATGTCTAAACACACAACTTTTCTGATGGTTTTGCACTATGTAACATTCTGTCTGTACTATCTATGCTCTGCCCAACGCAGGTATTGAAACCAGATTTTAGTGTTATAGCTCATCAGTCCTACCGCTGAGCCATCAGGGGGTTACTTAATATTACAATTAAACCTCAGTATAGCTTTATCTGTTGGAAGGTGTCGCTAACAGTTATACCAACTTTTAATGGGGATGTGTTTTTACACTATATATTCAGAAGTGTGTGGATTCAATTCAGAAAATTATTATTCTCCTGATCACTTCATCACGAAATTTTAAAGAACTTCAGTAAGACAGGGGAATGGAGCAAGTCATTAACTAATACGTAATACATACAAAACCAGTTATAATGAACTATAATTTATTTAAGTCAATTTGAATCGAATAAATATTATGTATTCTTTGTTTCAAAATCTTAGATGTAGTTTAGATGAAAAAAAACAACGTTTTGAATTACTTTAATGAATGAAAAAAAAAAAATGTCAGTTCACCTTAGTCCACACAACAGTTTCATTCAGTGTTTGTTTTGTTTTGTTTTGTTTTTTGAATTTCGCGCAAAGCTACACGAGGGCTATCAACGCTAGCCGTCCCTAATTTAGCAGTGTAAGACTAGAGGGAAGGCAGTCAGTTATCACCACCCACCGCCAACTCTAGGGCTACT